TATCTATGCTTCAGCCCATCATGAAGTCTCTAGTTATTTAAATATCTATGTTTCAGCCCATCATGAGGTCTCTAGTTATTTAAATATCTATGGTTCAGCCCATCGTGAGGTCTCTAGTTATTTAAATATCTATGATTCAGCCCATCATGAGGTCTCTAGTTATTTATATATCTATGGTTTAGCCCCATCATGAGGTCTCTAGTTATTTATATCTATGCTTCAGCCCATCATGAAGTCTCTAGTTATTTAAATATCTATGTTTCAGCCAATCATGAGGTATCTAGTTATTTATGTATCTATGGTTCAGCCCATAATGAGGTCTCTAGTTATTTAAATATCTATGGTTCAGCCCATCGTGAGGTCTCTAGTTATTTAAATATCTATGATTCAGCCCATCATGAGGTCTCTAGTTATTTATATATCTATGGTTTAGCCCCATCATGTGGTCTCTAGTTATTTATATCTATGGTTCAGCCCATCATGCGTTCTCTAGTTATTTATATATCTATGGTTTAGCCCCATCATGTGGTCTCTAGTTATTTATATATCTATGGTTCAGCCCATCATGAGTTCTCTAGTTATTTATATATCTATGGTTCAGCCCATCATGAGGTTTCTAGTTATTTATATACCTATGGTTCAGCCCATCATGAAGTCTCTAGTTATTTATTTATCTATGGTTCAGCCCATCATGAGGTCTCTAGTTATTTAAATATCTATGGTTCAGCCCATCATGAGGTATCTATTTATTTAAATATCTATGGTTCAGCCCATCGTGAGCTCTATTTATTTATATCTATGGTTCAGCCCATCATGAGGTATCTAGTTTTTTATGTATCTATGGTTCAGCCCATCATGAGGTCTCTAGTTATTTATGTATCTATGGTTCAGCCCATAATGAGGTCTCTAGTTATTTATGTATCTATGGTTCAGCCCATCATGAGGTCTCTAGTTATTTATGTGTCTATTGCTCAGCCCATCATTAGGTCTCTAGTTATTTATATCTATGGTTCGGCCCATCATGAGGTCTCTAGTTATTTATGTATCTATGGTAGTAGCTGAGGGTATCCTCTGAGGGTCAGGTCAATCAGGACGTTCAGTGGTCAGCCAGGAGCTGAGGCTCCGCCCCTTTTCAACATCAGATCGTTTCGGCGCGCGAGGAACACCAGACCTTTAACAGATGGATGCGCTCAGACCAACGTGCGCGCGAGCTTTAAGGGTTAATTACAGAGAGAGGGAGGGGGAGGAGCGGATCCGTCAGCTGATGATGAAGAGGAGAAAGCAGCTCTGTCGGCAGAGGTAAGAAAAGCGCCTCTTCATCCTCCATCTTCCTCCTCCTCATCACATCTTCATCCTCTGAAGCTTTTAATCGCACCGTGTTCACGCGAGTGTCACGTTGCTCGTGCACGCTGACATGTCACCAGATGTTTCATGATGATGAAGATGATGATGATGATGATGATGAAACACTCCGTTCTTCTGATTCTCCGTGCGTGCGCGTGCTGGCACCGTTCAGTCTCACGCACTTCCGCGCACACCTGAGAGTAAATATAGAAAGTGCGGGCGTCAGAGCAGCTGAGTGACGTCAGAACATTCCTCCACATCTGACCTTCATCATCATCATCATCATCATCATCATCAT